TCTCTAATTAATGTTTTAAATTTCACACATTATTCTCTCTCACTTTGTTCTTTTGATGAAAATAGCAAAAAGAAAGTTTACGAGTTATCGAAATTTAATTGTGCTCATTTTTGGGAAAATATGTTAAGGTTTATCAATTGTACTTAATTAGGTTAATTTATAGGTATGTAAATTAGACATCTAAACACTTAAAAAGTTAATGATTCCCTAAGCACGTGAAGGACGTTTACTAATAAGGGTTAAGGAACATGTAAAAGTCAAATTTTTTCTTTTAGTTTCTTTTTGGTTTGGTCTAAAAACACGTCCAAAATCAGTGTAACTGCTTAGTCAAGCGACCATTGAAGCTAATAAATGCAAATACTTATCAAGACACACAAGATTGTTGTGATTATCTTTTGGCTTTGAGAGTTGAAAAACAAAGTTTTAATTTAGAAAAAAAAAATTTGGCCTAACAAAACAAATATTCAAAATTTGGGAAAGAAATTTTTTTGCGTTAACAAATTAGCAATTTTAAATTTTTTTGGTAGTCAACATATATACTTCAATTAAAACGTTCATCAATCTAAACCAAACCGGATAGGTAGCCAAAAAACATCAAAAAAATTGGGAGACAATAATTTTGAGTTTATAAATTAACAAAATTAATTTTTTGTTGTTATGGTGAGCATTATAATTTAACTAAAACGGTGCATAAATCTAAATCCAATAATAAAGATTAATATTTAGATAAAGTAATTTGGGTTAAAATTGTATAAGCATTTTTGATGATCATGATTTGGGCAATTAAAAGAAAAATGATTCTTCTCCTAATTTTTTGTTTTGATCTTTATGAATTGTCTTTAGGTTATTGAGGGTTCCAATAAAGACATTAAAGCAGAGGAAAAAGAGGGCCTAGTTGTAGGATTTGGATCTTTTTTGGGGTCTGATTTCATATTAGTGGGACCTATTATCTCCCATTCTTTTTCCTCTTTCTCTTCTACTAAACCCAGTAATTTTTATTTTACTTAAATCAATCCAGTAAATTTGCTCTCTTTCTAAAACTGTCTATAAATGCATATTAACACAAATTTATTTACTGCACCAGTGAATAACCTATCTTTTTGTTTTTTTTGGTTTTTTAGTCATTACTTATAGCTTTAAATTACATCACATGTACTTTCTTGTATTTTTAAACACACCACATCACATGTCCCGAGTTATATTCTCGTTTCTACGAAAAAAAAAAAACATTTGGAAACTGGTCCTTGTTAAGAGTTTTTTTTTTACATATAATACAAAATATTTTTTTTTGATTGATTCATATAATAAAATGATTAAAATCGGTCCAGACATTTCTGTATATTCGGTACTTAAAGCGGGCCTTGTTCTTACCCAAAGAAGGATTTACGGGCTTTTCAATGGCCCAAAATGGTCTAAGACTTACTGTGGATATAGTGGAAAGAACTTTGTATAATATGGCTTAAGAATCAGTTTTTAGACGTGTAATTTGAAATTTTGATAAAAGCACACTTTATACTTTAGTCTCACCGAGCTCAACGTCTTTCAAATCGATATGCTCAACTCCTTCCTTGAGTAGCTTAATCTCTTCTTCGGTCATACTGTTTTTACCGTGAGGCATCGACTTTGCGTTTCTCTGTTTCTCTAGATCAACCGCCCAACTATAGATCACCATTCCGACAACGGCTAAGGCCATCCCGGCGATGTTCTTGAATGTCATCTCGGAATCAAAGAGAAGCCAACCTAACGTAAGTACGCATACTGTTTTCATGTGGCCTAGAACTTGGAATGATGTCGCTGAGAATCTTCCGATGCAGAGATATTGGCTTATGTTACAGAATACGGCTAATGCGCAAGAGAGAAGAATGCAAAACTGCAAATACGAGAGAGATATGGTAAGGATTTTTGTGTTAAGTTGAGTCATATGAATCTTACATTAAGAATTACTTACAATGGCGCCGTAAGTCATCTTGTAAGTAGATATGAATTTGCCACTCAAGAAATAGTCAACAAAGGGGCCAAAGATGAGAAGCGAAAGTGCTTGGATTGGCGCTGTTTTGCTCAGCAATTCAAATGATCCAACTGAGTATTTCTTCTGCAGAGAGCCTATTGACTGTTACCAAAACAAAAAAGGTAAATCCATCAGATCTAAACTTGACACACACTAGCAACTAAAGATAAAGAATGCTCTTTTCAGGATTCCAGCATCTCACAGATTCATGAACGGTTAAAAACATAGCTTTTGATTTCAGATCCAGGAAAGAAATCAACTTGAGTGTATCAAAAGGGCAAAAAGGTTCCCTACCTAGACCCTTGTAAACAAGAGTGAAACAAGATCTAAAGAAGCAAGATTCAGATCTAAACATAAACAAGAAGATATTGGAGTTTAAATACTTACAATCTGTTGCAGAGAAGTGGAGAAAACAGCAGTGCATGCACAAATGAAACCTTTAGCATTAACCTTGACATCAGTCACAGTACAAATCCCAACACCAATAACCACAACCATAACAGATGCTTTCACTTCTTTACAGTAATGCTTGCTATGTAGAATCCATTCCAACACGCATACAACCGGAATCATGCTCAATTTCGAAATCTAGATTGAAAAAAAAAAGAGGGAATCAAAACAACAACAATCTTCAAATCGAATACACAAAGAAGGCAAATCAAGGTAAGAAAACTTTTACCTGATAGAATCCAACAGAGTTAAGCATAAGGCTAAAGTTCATAGCAGCAATGGAGACATTAGCAACAATTGAGAACCAAAGAAGCTCCCAAAGAGGAACATGCTTTGATGCTGATAATCCAGTAGCGTTTGACACCATACCAACAAGTGCAGTCAAGGCGAAATGGAATCCCGTTAATGTTGTAGCTGTAGAAAGATTATAAAACACAAAGAATTTCGATTCAGGTTTTTTCATGAAGCTTGTTTTCGGAGTTTAGAGAGAGATACGAATCAAAAGGAGACATTTACCAAAGCTGAATCCGAAACCAGAGGAAGACATGAGCTGTTTATTAGCCATGATGATTCCGACGGAGCTAATGACGTTCATAGCCCATGCACCGACGTCGGAAACAGCTGATTCTTTCTTCTCATTCTCCGTTTTCTCCATTTTTTTCAAACTCACGATTGGATCGCTTCGAATTGCAACCCCACCGACAGTATCAGATCTCGAATTTGATAAACTTCGTGCAAGCGAAAACGAGATCTGAATCCAAATCTCGATTCGCTTGCAGATTGAAGAATGAGATCTGGAGAGAAAAAGTCGATTCACGCCGTTTGCTTTCCAAAAAACGT